CTGACTTCAAAGGACTGAGGTCCAGCAAAGCTCTGAATTCCTCTGCCTCAGACTCCCTACACCAGTGCCCACCTCAAGACTTCAAGAAGGGTTCAGGGTGTAAAAAGCCAAGCATCAGTTGAGGATATTTCAAGATGTGTAAGTATTTTCCTCTCCAAACAGCAGCTAGACAAATGACTTGCTCAAAGTAACATTTCCAGGAAAGGGCTAGGTATGGTTCAATAAATAACAAAGGCAGCCAACTTCTCAGGAAGTACCTTTTGACTGCATCAGGAATAACCAATAGGGCTGTTACTATTAAAAAGAATTATACTGCTATATAAACCAGCTTAGATTTACGTAGCTAATAATGAGTCACATAAATTACTCATACATATTTGCCAATCTCCTCTGCACAGTACAGCATAAAACAGAGTAAGTTAAATTAATTGCAGTTCCACACGGCTTTGAACTATAACAACATAAAAATTAACAGAATCCAAAACAAAGCAAGCTGTACAACCAGACTCAGTTAAATTAAGTAAGCTAACTGGCAAGATGGTTTTACAAAAATAGGCAGGCTAACCACCTAACACATTTTTTGTCAACTGGAGACTTAAAAGAAACATGATTATGGTAAACTAGGCAGGAAGATTAGAAGATATGTTTTGCTAATGACTGTTCTGAGCTCTTACTGTTTATAGTTGCAAAAAAAAATTAATTTCTGAAAGGAGTGTAACAGATTCACCGCAAAGCAAAACTGGTCTACAGATTCAGTGTGTGGCATGCGTAAGTTTTCTCCTAAATTAGATTTAATTTTGTGGCGTTTAGTGTTTGTAACTAGAGCGAAGCTGGTTTCAATTTTGTCATTTCCGTATCTATACGTATTTGGTATAAAGGCAATATTAGTTTATCTTTACAGTATAGATAAGGTTGTTTTAGTGAGACAGCAATTTACTTAAATGGCCCTCACCTATTCACACTCTGAAGACGTAATGGCTGAGAACTGACAGGAGTGTGCTGACTCAGTCACCCTTACCTGCATGCTGGGAGGCATGGGAGCCAGGCTATGACCAGACAATGGTGATTTACATTTTTAAAGGTAAAACTGTAGCACGAAGTGGCACCTTGAAACCAAGAGACCGTACTCTGGATTAGTGAATCTCCAGTTCCTGGAGGATTAGTGAATCTCCAGGTACTGTGCAATTAATGGTTAATTGCACAATTAACAGAGACCAACTACACATGATGTGCCTATCACACCATTAAAAGGTCCATCCAGCTATAAAGTTAGACCTGGGAAATGTGTACTAACTTTATAGCTGGTTGTATCCAGTTTTAATCTGCATATGTAGCAGGGTCTCCCCTGTGGCTTGCAAGCCCCATCAGCTGACTGGGCTCCCAGCCACAGGGGTGCACCATGCCCAAATGGGGATGGGAGTCCTACAGCTGAGGGGACTCTCAGCCCTAGCAGCGCCTGACAGTTGCAGACTCTGGGTTCCAGCAGAACCCCAAGGCTGCCTGGACCCAGTGTCCCGCAGCTGTGGATGCTAGGCCCCTGTCTCTCAGCTGCAGGGGTACATGGTGCTGGGAAACCATGATTGCTATAATGTCCCAGCTGTGGGGAGTTGGAAAAGACAGATCACGGAAACAGCTGGATCAAAAGAAATTACTATTTCTCATAAGAAGGTGTCTGGGAAAGTAAGTTGGAATTCATGGGGTAAAACTGGCAAGATGGAAGCTCCTGTGACTGGGAGACCTCAATTGTTGCAGTCTCCCAGCCGAGGGCGGCTCCATGGAGCTGTGAGATCACAGCAGCTGCGTCTCCTAGCCACAGAGGTACATAGGGCATCCCCATGGCTGGGAGCTCTTCAGCTGATGGGGCTTCCAGCCACAGGGGCTAGGGACAGACATTCAAAAAGCCTGAACTGATTCAATCTTTGCAGGTTAGTCTAACCTGGCTAGGTTAAATCGGTTTTGTAACCAGACAGACCTCCCAGAAATGCAGGCACATGCCTGCGGTGACTAAGGCTAGAAGCCAGGGGGGCACTAGAGCAGCCCTCCCTTCCCCTGCACAGGGCTGAGTTGAGGGGGGTGTGGCCAGGTCCCAGCAGAATGCTGTGATTAGGGAAGGGTCCCCCCAACCCTTGATAACAGAGCATTTATCAGCTCTGTTATTAGCATTTAACACCCCATCAAAAAACAAAGCCTTGCTCATTACAAGCTCTTCTTAAACAGTTTTTTTTCAAAGGAAGGAATGCAGGGACATTACCAGCTGAGCTGTTGATTACTTCCAAAAAGCCCTAAGCGAACACTGCCCTGTCTGCCTTACACAATATTAGCTAGCATACCACATGCTGGCTACAGTACAAGCTGTGGGAGAGAGGAGGAAAGGATCTCTAATTAAGCAGCAAGTGGTGAGAAGGGGAGGAGGGGGGACACAGAAAGCCAGCAGACCCTGCTGTGCCTGCAAGTCTCTGCCGAAGCTCCAGTCAGGGAGCAGAAGGGAGGGGCCAGCCCTCCTGTAGGGCAGAGAGCTCCACCCAGCCTAGAGAGCGTGCCAGGATGCTGGAAGTGTTTGATTTAATTTAAACCAGCAAAGGGTCTGGGACAGACATTGCATAAACTGGTTTGAGCCAAATCAGTTAAGTATGATAATATATTCAACCAGGTTTATCTCAGACCAGTTTCAGTCATTCTCAAACTGGTTTATGTGAACTGAACATCTGTTCTGTTACAGGTTTAAACCAGTTTCTGATCACTTAAACCGATTTACGTGTAATGTCTGTCCCTAGACAGGAGCTTCCTTCTTGCCAGTTATACCTCATAAATTCCAACTTACTTTCCCAGACACCTTCTTATGAGAAATATTAACTTCCTTTGGTTCAGCTGTTTCCGTGGTCTGTCTTTTCCAGGCTTTTTGTAATGTGAATTGATTTAATTGATGACTGTCACTGGATTTTGTTATTATTTCAGAAATGTCCTGTATTGTTCTAATTTTAAGTTTATTTCCCCCCCTCCAAAGTATCATAAAAATTGCACTTCACTAAAGGCCACCTACAGTCTGCACTTCTGTACTTGCAGTATTTTTGTGCATGCAATAAAAATAGCTAATTAAGAATTTTCCTTCATTGAGGTCTTTATTTTAACATCTTTAGTACATTTAGCCCATTTTCTTGGGTTATCTGATTCTCTCATGTAATTGTGTAAAGCCAAGAGCAGCTCAAGTTCTCTACCTGCAGTTACTGTCTTATATTTAAGGGAAAAGCTCTTTAAAGCTGGGCCTGAAAATGTGGGGTCAACTCATAATTGTAACCATAATAAAGATGACTTTGAGGGAGAAAAAAATATTGGACTAAGTATTCAATGGCCTATTCTTCCTTTGCTTCAAATCTAATGGGAGATAAAACACCATATATTGCACCTGTGGTGCAAATATCATTTATCTAACTACATCCCACCTAAATAACTCCATACAGTTCTAGGAATCACCTTTGCTCTAAAACAAAACAATATTTTAGCATTTATTTTTAAAGCAAAGATCCTAAATTAAAGATGTCCACCTGATGCACATACAAAATAATTGTACATAATTAAATCAACTAATCAGTGCTTTGATGAAAGTCATTTAGGCCCTAGATCATTACAGGAATATTGCTATTGATCCCGTTAATAATTTGTCATTCTACAACATGGCTAGAGGCAAGATTTCTCAGCCCTGTGCAGCAGCAGTAACAGAATGCGGGAGAGGGGGATTAACATGGGCTCACCTGTCTTTTACTCCCATACTGCTGGCCAACATCCAGAGCATGCAAAGTTCCAGTAGCCTTGCATGGTGCAACACATACGGGAACTGTGCAGAGGGAGGACTTCCTGAGAATAAATGGAAAGCCTCACCCTTTTGCAGCTCCACAGAGAAACAGCAAGAATCCGGTAATGTCTTCACACGCCTGTCAGTCACCTGATACAACCAGCACCATCAAACCTGAACTTGTCACTTTTGCCTTTTGTTGTTTATTTGTCTAATCAGCTCCCAATGCTTCAGGACCTTAATCTGCCCACTCACCACAATCCTCTGCATCCCAATCTCAACAGCATCTATGTATCCCTTTCTTTTTCAGTCTATTCTTCCAGCTTCCTCCCCAAAATATACAGTAAAAAAGATGACACTTGCCTGCCACTCTGTTTATACACAATATGCAAATTACAGACAAAATGTAAATGAGGTATCACTTTCAGGCTTCTGTCAAGCTGCCAGTACAGCAGATACTTGAGAGGTCACAAATCACTGCTTGAAGCCCTCACTTGTTATTTTTCCAGGGTCTCCAACAGCGTATACTACAGTTCACTACATTTTCAAACACAAAGTTACTGAAATCCCACCAGATTACATCATGTCCACATCTTGCCACATTTAGCTCTCTTAACATTTAGGCATTTATTTCTGAAGCGACAGTGTCTCTGGGGTCAGACAGTTCCTCCTGTAGTATCTTTTTGGAGTGAGAGAGATGAGGAAGCATGTTCCCAATGATCACCTACCAGGCCTATGAGAAGCGGCTAGTATTCGCTTCAGATTTGGATTTGGCCAATTTGGGGGACAGTGATTCAATTTGGTGATTCGAATCAATGTACCAAATCGACTCAGCCGACTCTGATTCGGAGATTCGGCCGCCACCAAATCAGCTGACTCTCCAAATCAAACAGGCTCCATCCCCCACCTGCTCTCCTAGTCCAGTCAATGGCTGCCCTGCCTGGCCCCCCCCCCCACTAAAAAAAAAAAAAAAAAAAAAAAAAAAGGAGCCCCACATCACCGTCTCCTGCCATGGGGGGTGGGGGGGGCAATCCCCACTGCTCCCCACTACCCCGTGGTGCATGGGGGGGGCTCTGCCACAAGCCCCCAGAAGCCCTGGCGGCCACTGCAAGAGCCAGTGAGTGCGGGGCTTTTTTTAAGAGCGGGGATCCTGGGGTCAGGAGGGACAACAATCAACGGGGCTGGGAGAGTGGGCGGGGGATGGGGTCTCGTGGCAGAGCCCCCCCATGCAGCACGGAGCAGTGGGGGGCAGCAGGGACTGCCCCCCCTGCTTGGCAGGAGCCAGTGAGTGCTTTTTTTATTTTTTATTTTTTTGCTGGGGCTGGGCAGAGCAGCCACTGACGGAGCTGGGAGAGCAGCCGGGGGTCAGGGATGCTCAGAGGAGCTGGAGGAGCAGGCAGGGGATGGGGCCTGGTGGGGGTCCCCCCATGGTCCCCTCCCCCCTCCTCCAGTCACCCACTCCACCCCCTACTTACCGGCACAGAATCTGGGTCCAGCTCCCTGTAGCAGCAAGCAGGGACTGCCTGAATCTCTAAATCTCTCTGAATCTTTCTGAATCAATTCGGAGAGCTTCAAATCAATTTGGACCTTTTCACTGGTCTCCCAATTTGATTCGAAGATTAAGCAGCCAAATTGGGCCAAATCTCCCCCAAACCAAATCAGCACCTGAAGCTTCACACAGCCCTATCACTTACTCATTTCAAGCGCTTTCCTGAGGAAAACACTTGCTGGAGAAGGGGTCAATCTTATTTCATTCCCTTTCCCACCAATTCTAAAAGACATCACCTAGGCTGAACTTAAGAAACCTCAGATTACATCTGAACCTGAGCCTCCAGTTTGGTGGGATGCCAAGCATTGACTCAAAGTGGCTGGCCTCCTTCCAATCTTTTTTGTGGGTTTTATGTTCTTCCTTCATCATCTGTACCCCGCTACTTTCTTTTAAAACCTCTCTAACCTTTCTTCTTCCATTAACATCTCCACTTCTGCACTGCATCTGCCAAGAAGCAAGATTGTCTTACCCCTAGACTATCATGGCTACAGCAATACTAGTGCACCTAGCACACTTTTTCATTCTGTATCAATCTTTCCCATTTTAGACCTTTTCTATTTCCAATTTC